CGCCGTAAGCCTGCTTACACAGGTTACATCCGTTATTCAGAATTAGAAGACGCTTTGAAGGTACTTGTCAAGATAACCCAAGCTCAAGAATTCCCTTCCATCTTCAAAGGGCTTGATTCGTCCAAGAACGAAGCGATTCCAGTGTCGTTAGCGCGTCTGTCTCCATTTATAGATGCGGACGGAATCATTCGTGTAGKAGGTCGTCTTCGGCATGCTAATATCCACGAGAATCGTAAATACCCTATCTTGTTACCAAAATMTTGTGTCCTTACAACCTTACTCGTTCGCCATTTCCACATCAATTATCTTCACGCAGGACCACAATTAGTTGCCTCGCTCTTAGCCGCACGTTTCTGGGTTATATCTAGCCGTTCGGTCATACGACTTATAACGTTTAAGTGCGTAACATGTGCAACACATAGAGCTACCATTCCGTCGCCGATTATGGGAGACCTTCCAAAATCAAGGACTCAGTCAGTACGACCATTCAGCAATGTAGGCATAGATTACGCTGGCCCTCTTATTATAAAGCAAGGAAAACGTCGAAACGCTCAAGGGACTAAGTGTTACTTAGCAATTTTCGTGTGTATGGCAGTCAAGGCTGTTCATATAGAARTTGTGTCCGACTTATCAACCCCCGCGTTTGTTGCCGCGTTACATCGCTTCACGTCTCGGCGAGGTGTTCCAGTTAATATCTATTCCGATTGCGGAACCAATTTTCAAGGTGCGGACAATATCCTACGTTCTCAAYTACAAGATCCAGCTGCTCGCRATCTCTTCTCAAATGTCATACCATGTCAATGGCATTTCAACCCTCCAGCTGCCCCTCACTTTGGGGGATTGTGGGAGGCAGCCGTGAAATCAGCCAAATTTCACTTAAAGCGAGTCATTGGTAGTCAAATACTCACATTCGAAGAAATGACTACATTGGCACATCGAATTGAAGCGGTACTCAACTCCAGGCCGATCACCCCATTTTCTACGGATCCAAACGACTTGCGTGCCCTCACTCCTGGCGACTTTCTTATCGGTTGTCCTATAGTTGCGCTACCGGAGCCAGATTTAACCCAAACGCCGATWAACCGCCTAACGCGATGGCAGTTATTRAGTCAGCTTCAACAGTCATTTTGGAACCGCTGGTCCGGGGAATATTTGGCTACATTACAGGGAAGGTCAAAATGGTACCGCAAGCAAGTGAACCTCAGAGTCGGAG